TGACAGCTACTGTCCCCGACACTGTAAATGCCACTTAACATGATGGACAGCCGCAAGGGACAGTCTAGTAAGAGGCTGTTGAGGGATGCTTAGCCACAGTACAAAAGCAGTTTTATGCAGCGTGTGTGGGAGAGAACGATATTCAACACCAAGAGTAAAAGAGGTGGGAAAGTAATGGCAGCTACGAGCATGGGTTTTTCTCCACAGTTGGTCAATTCAAACTCTGTGGGGCAGTTTGTAAAGTAACAAGCAATTAACTGAGCAACTTTCCATCCCGCTTCACACATTAAAAGAAATGGGGAGAGAATTTGCCTCGGTCCAGACCTTTGATTCACTCCAATTCAGCCTGTTTTATAAGACGATCCAAGTCTTTGCAACTTGAATGCAGCCTCATAAGTTAATAAGGCTGTGATAATTTACCAACCCCAGTCTAAAATGTGCATAGTCACCTTCCGGGGATTACCATTGACGTCATTAGCCATTCGCAGATCCAAATGCTCTACAATGAGTCCCCACCGAAAATAACAGAGATCATCCAAATTTTTTCTACTCAAATAAAATGATCAGTGTGGCTGTGCCCAGACGTTATTATGAAGTTTGTTTTTCAGGAAACTGTAAAGAGAGGTTACAAGGTTTAGTTAGAAGAGAATTAGCTAGTTAGTTTAAATCTAATGATGACAGACCATTTTCTAACTTAGTTAGACTTAGTAAACATATAGCTCTGCTTTGGAAGTACATTAATAAAGAAAAGTAGAGATGCGAGGAGGGTTTGTGAATGTGGGCTAGTTGATGTAAATGACTGGTACCTCCTGGCTCGTGTTACCCGAGGTACAGAGGTTGGGTTAGGTTGACAAACAGTGAAAAACAGGGAAGATACAGACTTAAGATGTTGACTGTCCCCAACGGACAAGGAAGCTTGTAGAAACTGACAAACAAGTTATGTGAAGTGTTAAAATAAAGCCGCTAGCTACTGTTAGCCATGCTCTGAAAATTGTCACACCAATGTTATGCACAGCACTACACATTTTAGCAGCATCTAAATCATGTTTTGGTTCATTCACAATGTGATTAGTGTTAAAATCCCTTAAATTCAGCTGAGGGGGAGGAAAACCAAACAGAAAAAGGCAGAACTAACAGGAAATTGCAAAGATTTCCATCAACCAGACTCATTGCCACTGTACATGGACTGATCACGCTTAGATCCCTTGAATGACAATTTTAAGCCAGGACTGTAAATGCACACAGCAACTGTACATACGCTGTTTGACTGTTTTCTTGAACCGAGCGGCCCTGGTTTGTATAGTTTACACACTCATTCTTTAATTAATGGGTCACAGAGTGAGCAATTCCACAGGAGTTGTAACCCATCTGGCAAACTTGCCAACTCACTGGCCTGAAAACCCTTCCTGGAACCTGGTGCACAAACACGTCCAGAACCAATCTGTCAACAGTCAAACGGAAAGTGAAACAGCTGACGCAGGAAGCTATCTAGTTGACATCGTGGAGCCAGCAGAGACTTTGGACAGGTGACATGCCCCACTTTCCCACCCAGCAAGGTCACAAGCAACAAAAAAGAAAAAAAAACCTGGTGTCCCGCCAGAGCATGTGGCTGTGTGTATGTACAAGAAGCGTGTCTGGAAAAGAGGCAAAAACAGATGCCTCTGGGTTCCCAGCAGGGCTGCAGACACTGACCTCACTTTCACCCAAACGTAAACACGAGACAAAGTGTCTGGCTCCAAAACAAACACGCTACATGTGCTGAGGGAATTTCAGCAGTGACAGCTCTTTGGTAGATCTACGCTACCAGAAATACACAAACACGCAGAGACCGGCCTGTTGGACAGAGATACGCCGGTTGAAAGCGTTGACTATTCGTGTGCCAAGCAGGGTTACAAGCGTTACGAGGTGTCCTGTTGCCCAAGCTGAGCAGAAAGATGGACATGGAAGCGCAAAGTTGTGAGTTCTCAATGCCATGAGTTCAGCTCTCTTAACTTTTGCTGAAGTTACGAGCTGGTGCAAAGTAAAGTTGACAATTCAGTTTAAAACCTTCCTGATGTGCCAGATTTCACTAAACGTATACCAATTCATTTTCAGTATACTCTTAGTGAGGTACAGTCTCTGCTCAGAATTGTATAAATTTAAACTGTTGAGCCATACATTGAACAGCATCACTGAAGGAAGCAGCACAGGAAAAATGTTTTTAATGCTTGATCCTATCTGCTACCTGGTATGTTTTCCTGCTGGAAATGCAGCTAATAAAAAAGATGAATGCTTCGTCTATTTCAAGGTCATTTATCACCACGAGTATTGAATCTGTGGAAACAATTTCACTGGCTACAACCTAGAGTGATTTCCACACCACTTCCACTGAGCTATGAGACCGAGTCAATCCCGATGCACTCATGTTTAAATGTACAAAGTCTCAACGCTCTAATGTACAAGAGAGGGGTGGAAGGTGCAATAAATGGGAAGCTGCAATAAATGGGAAGCTGTAGCTTGATAAATTTACAATATCAATCATTTTCTGCAACACTGCTTTAATGTCATTTTTCTTATAGACTGATCTTTATAACCTCCACAACCTGTTCACTTGACGGTGCCCGACTGTGCAGAAGCAGCAGCAAATGATGCATCAACCACTCGCTTTTATGAGTGTGTGCAAAGAGCCTGGAGCAGACAGCCTGGGTTAACAGAGAAAGTTGATATCAGCCCGTCACCTGCGACTGGGCTTTTAGGCTTTGTTGAGTCAGGATAATTAACAGAGTTGGGTTTTTTTCACCCTCACAGCAGAATAATTTTGGTGCTGTCCAGAAGAAAAATAACCAGGACTGAACTTTTAAACAACTTGTTTGTATTGAGCATTGAATTTACTCAAGCTTAAAATTAAGTTTTGTGCATCCAACGGTGATTTCGGGTAACAAATTGTCGCTACCCTCCAAGAGGCCCACGTGGAGGCAGAGACAATCTGGCTATGCTGAACATACTATGCAGCGTCTCCCTGCTCGTTTCAGAAATCTTTCTATTAGCAGAGTATCAGACTACCCAGCACTGCATAGTCTGGCTTCAATGGTCCTGAGTGAAACATGCAAAGCTGATGCTTTCTCTGAACACTTTCAGACTGCAGAAAATAAATGCAGTTTTTGCTTTCACTGGGTCAAGCACATCGCTAAGGGAGGAAAAAGGGACCAAGCATCCCTGTGCAAATTAATGAGCGTGGAGGTAAAACAAATAATATGTGCTCCTACAAAAGCTAAAAATACACTCCAGCAGCAGAAACTACAACAACAACAACTCAAAATACATTTCCATCTAAAGTCTGACGCAGAATTCATAACAGACAGCTCCCAACACAGAGCGGCTGGCACGCAGCAGGCCTTGGCCTACCTCTTATGATAATATGACTGTTACATAACCAAGCACTCCAGCTGAGCAGAGCACAGACTTTGAAGTGACAGCAACCCCCACCTCCTCTCTCCTCCTTCCTGCCACCCTGATCTCCTCTGGAGCGCCACGTGCGCTGGTCTGCCAGCCCGCTGTGCCATCTGACACACTGAACCCCTGACACCGAGCCTCCACAACACCGGCTGCAACACACTTTGCTTGAATAATTTAGGGAAAAAAGTATCCAACACAGATCCCTGTAGTGATATCCCCCTCGTGTACTCAACCTTATATTTAAACATCAGGCAAGACTGCTGGGTAAGCTGTGTAGCAGACTCCTCAGAGAAGCAGATATATTGTTTAATACTCCCGGGATGAGAGCACTGCTGTGTCAGACTACTGCATAGTAAATTACATAAAAAGCGAAGAACAGGAAAAAGAAATCCCACAGGGTGCATGTGCTTTACAACCCCCCCTATTTTTGAAATAATCACAACAGCCCTGTGGGATGCAACAGGAAGCAGAATTTGTTAAGTTACTTGCAGGGAGATCAAACTAGAAAGATCCTTTCTCTGACAATTATCTGCAAGCTTTCATGAGTTTTGAAATGTAACAATGTTCTTATATAGATAGTCAACTATCAATGCACATAACCATTTAGATGCTCATCCCACAGTGGCTTAACTGTGGAGTAACAGGAAACACAAAAAGTTGCACAACAAAGTCCCAATCTTATTTTGCAACATTTACTTACACGAAAATTATAACATATGAACCAAAGCACTTTTAGGTAATTTAAACGAGCTTTTCTGGTTTATTTTGATGTTTAAATATTCCTTCTATGCACAACAGAATATGACCACATTGCAATGAGAGATGCCGGTGACAGCACCGCTGGAAAATCGACATCATTAACATATTACAGAGAAGTATCTTCTTGGTTAGAGTGACAATAAGTTATTTACCCGTGTGACTGCTGTACATGCAATAACTTAATTGCAACAACATATAATAACAAACCCACAGCGTCCATACTAATAACGAGCCGGGCTTGCCGTACGGAGAAATCATCATAAAAATGTGGCACCGGCAGCTGCATTCATGACACACAAGGCTCTGTGCAGGAAAACAGCAAGCAAACATTTACATCAAGTCAATGCAAAACGAACACCGCTGTGTTTTCTCCAATGCATGGCCGCCTTGTTGACATTTCTGACTGCTGGTAGCAAAGATGCCACATAATCTGAAATCACTAGCTCCCCCTTGCCCTGGTCCGCTGCAATTACGCCAACACAAGGCCCCGTCCTGACAGACGAGACAAAATGTCGGAATCGCTCAGGTCACATGACTCCTTTGTACTCAGAAAATCACTTCACGCACAAATATGCCGGTCAAACCGGACAATTTTATCCAATAACGACACAAAGCATCCCCGCTTTGCCCAAAAATCCGTCCGAGCCCCGTATATGAGTCGTTTGCGGCACAAAACCGTCGTGTTTCTCCTGAGAAAATTGGCGGCCATTTTGTGAAAGCTTGCGCAGAAAAAAGAGGGACGCCTGTGATCACGTAAAAATGAAACAAAACGTATAAATTCATATTTTCAAACGGTTAAAGCATACCGATTCCTCTTCTTTCTCCATCCCCGTCGGCATCTGCGGCACTGCCCGGTTAATTGATGCATATTCGTGTAGGTCGGGTAAATCCTCACAACGGAAGACGGGTAGTGGCTTGGAAGCGTCCAGCGCCCGTGCCCGAAACGACAATTTACTCATTTTTCACAATTCGAGGTGCAATATAAATCTATCCGATCTCCTAATATTCACAACGGTACCGAGTGGAGCTTTCATGGATGTTTCTGTGCGGTTAGTCTCTATTCTAACGTTCGAATGGTTGTAGCTTGTATTTAGGGCGTCGCCAACGGAGCCGGGGGAAGGCCCGGATCTTGGTCGCTCTCTCTCGGACTGTTTTTTTCCGACGCTCCGCTCCCTACCGTTGGTTCAGTGCGCCATGGACAACATGGCGGACATTTAAAACTCGTTTGCTCTGTTTCGCTCGGAGCGGTCCAACCCCCAGTTCGTGGACCGACCATTCCCACACGGTCCCGAGCGCTTGCGCGTTGCGGGGGTAGGGGGAAGGGGGTATTTCTTGCAAACTAACTCCGTTTCCACACATACACATAAATTATTGAAATAAGCACCGGGAATGGCCGAAATGTATATCGTAAACTAAAACGAAATAAATTTTCAAATAAATAAATTAAATGACAAAAGTAAAGTTGTTCTATACCCCCTTTAAAAAATAGTAAATGAACGAAAATAAAAATGCGATTTTAAAAACATAAATAAAAAGTGGGACTACTGGAATAACAGGACTACGGTTAAAAAAAACAAAAAACAAAAAACAAAAAAACACTGCCAACTGTATTTAGCACAACAAATAAAAAAAGACACCCCTATTTAAAAATGCATTTAATATATAATGAATAATTTCTACTTTTGAAAAAGAAAAAACACTTAAAACTTTTTAAACAAATTGTAAACAAATAAAATGAATTTGAAAAAGGTATTTAATATTGCATGGTGTACATTTTCTCTATTGTGTAGTATTATTGTCATGGGTTACTTTATTGCTTCGTCTATATTTTTTTTCCTTTTAATTTTGCTGTTGTAATAAAGTGAATTTCCCAACTGTGGGACATACAAGCTATCTTACTGCAGTGTATTTTACGTTTTGGTTAACAAAATTAGAGACAGACTAGCTGCAGGCCAATGCAGCTAACAGATAACTGTTAACTGAGCTGAAACAACTACAGTGATTCATTACAGCTCATCAATCTGATCAACAGCCCTGCATTTATTGGCAAGGAATGACAAACAATGTCATTTAATTGTATTTTTTCCACCCAAACCTTTGTCATATATGAAAACGAATAAAAATACTACTAATTACTACTATACATTGGAAGTTTTCACTATAGTGTATTTTATGCTTTGATAAAACAATACAAGAGGCACAAAAATCTTAAAAATAACTACAGCCAACGCCTTTAACACCACAGGG